CTAGTGATTTTGACTAATGGGTGTGCCAAAAACGTATATTGGATTAAAAATTGGGCTTTAATAGGCCCAATTTACGCTTTACATTGTTATCCATATATGAGCTACTTATTTCCTTTCTAAAATGGGCTTTTAGAACAGATCATAGCATATCAAAACCGTTCAATTCGTGTCAACGGCTAAGATCTTAGAAAAGAGCACGTTGTCCACTGTAAGTGCGTAAACATGTGATTATTTCGCTAAATATAAAACTTGATACCTTCATATCCATTCGTCAACGGATTAAATCCAATCGTTCATTAATTAGATCGAACGGGTAATATCGAAACATTGTTTTACACGAAATCTCTTTTCTTATAATCTTTTTTTAAAGGGATTATAGAGTGGGCCCCGCTGTAATTGTCAATTAGAAGACAGCTCGGTTAATTTAGCATATCTTCGTCACAGTCATCTTTTCTTCGATAAATGTAACTCTCTCTCCTCGTTTTCTTCTTCATTTCAATCCTCATTTCTCTCAGAATCTGGTGCTTTGCTTCGGTGAGTTCTTCTATGCAAATCCACCGATTCTCTTCGTTTTCAGTTCTCTTTTTGATTTCATGGTTTCGATTCTCTTCTAGTTTTAGATTTCTCCTAAATTTGTTGTCCTTGATACTCGTTTTATGAGCGGTTAGGTAAGGGTTTTGTTGCTGAATTCCGTGTTTTCCGATGTGAATCTGAATAGTTATATGTTTAGATGTTCTGATTAGTAGAATCGTTTAGATTTTCTTTATAGGATTCGTGTCTTGTTTGTGGTTAATTTTGGGTTTCACTAGTCTATCGGTATGAATTTCGATGATCTAGGGGTCGTGACCTTGATCGTGTTTCGTGTTTTAGGAGAAAAAGAGGTTTTATGCTCTAAGTGTGACCTGATCGATTGATACAATCTCCAGTTTGTTGTGAATCGTTTTGTTTTATTATGTGGCTCTTAAGGCAAAATGGATTGTTTCCTTTTTTAACTGTTATCTGATTTAACAATCTTTCTTTCTTTTCTCTTGTTGAAATAGTGTAAGGTTTTTAGATTCTTGTGATTTTGTTGTAATCAGTGTAGTATTTGCTTTCTGATTTTGTTCTTGTCAAAGGAAGTCCTGAAAATGAAAGGAATAAGAGTTCTCGTATTAACTATTTCTGTATTGCGTACACCCAAAAAAGTGTTGAGTTTTCAAGGTCTTTATCATTTGCTAAGTGAAGAGAGTTTTTACTTTATTTGTTTATTTCTTCCACGCTTGTGCTTGGTGGCTGTTTGAGAGAGACTAACTAAAATATAAAATTAGTGTAATTTGATGCGTGTTACCTTGTCCATCCTTATCTGTTTGAGGAGGACCGAGTAAAAGTGGACTTGGTCTATTCTTAGTCACTTAGACCTTATACAATTTTATGGTACATCATTCAATATAAACAGTATCTTAATATAGATATTATAGCTGACTTGTATGGAACTGTAGGTCCTCTGATTTTCAGCTTCATTGTCTCCTTATTCTGACTTACTTTCTTGTCAATGAATAGGTGAAATGGGAATATACTCTAGATCGGTTGCGGTTTCACTCTTTGTGTCGTTCCTGCTGTTTCTTTCTGCCTCCTCCGAGCGCAATGACGGGACCTTCAGAGTTAACCTGAAAAAACTCAAGTTGGATCCTAGAAACCGTCTTACAGGACGCTTTGGTTCCAAGCAAGAAAAGCCCCTGAGAGCTTACAGTCTTGGTGGAGATGCTGACATTGTCCCGCTGAAGAATTATTTAGATGCTCAGTACTACGGTGAGATCGCTATTGGTACTCCACCACAGAAGTTCACCGTGGTTTTTGACACTGGAAGCTCTAACCTCTGGGTGCCATCATCAAAGTGCTATTTCTCAGTAAGCAACATTTGATCTATAATTGCTGCATGTGGATGTGGTCGAGATAATTCTGACATGAAAATTTAATGTGTTCTTTATGTTTTGTAGATTGCATGTCTCTTCCACTCCAAGTACAAGTCGTCGCGTTCAAGCACATATGAGAAGAATGGTTTGTCCCTCTCTATTTAAAATTTGCCTCTTGAATAAGTTATGTCGTCTTTATTAGTTGATTTTGTGTTATGAAAATGTGGGATGTGTAATGATGTCTGCTTGCTTAGCAGTTGGATTTCCCAGCCAGTAGATACTTAACAGTTAACTGGCAAGCTGTGAAGTTATATCTAACTCGCTTGTCTTTGATGTAGGGAAATCCGCCGCAATTCATTATGGCACTGGGTCAATTGCTGGGTATTTTAGTAATGATGCCGTCACGATTGGCGATATAGTTGTCAAGGATCAGGTAAAGTATCGGTCTTACCCTATTCAACACTCGTACCATACATTTATGCCACATCATTGATCATTGTCTATCTTATTAGGAATTTATCGAGGCAACAAAGGAGCCTGGTATCACATTTGTTGTTGCTAAATTTGATGGTATCCTTGGTCTTGGATTCCAAGAGATCTCTGTCGGAAATGCCACTCCTGTTTGGTATGCCTGCAACTTTCTTCTTTTAATTGGGTTGGGTTCACTACATTTCTGTAATGATAATCTCATGCCAAGATGTCATGTTATTTACAGGTACAATATGCTCAAGCAAGGCCTTATCAAGGAGCCGGTGTTTTCATTTTGGCTTAACCGTAATGCCGAGGATGAAGAAGGTGGTGAACTTGTATTTGGAGGTGTTGATCCAAATCATTTCAAGGGAAAGCATACTTATGTCCCTGTGACACAAAAGGGTTACTGGCAGGTTTGTTATATGTCACTTTATTGTCTTGGTTTCTCATAAACGTCTTCCGACGGTCTAACTCAAGCGTTTTTTGGTATTAGTTTGACATGGGTGATGTTCTTATTGGGAGTGCGCCCACTGGTATGTGTAACATTAATATGCCTCGTTCTTTATATTATTATGTATAGCTGTTCCTAACAAATTCATAAAGGTTTTTTCTGCCATCGACTGGATATAATGTTTGTGTTACTGATATACAGGATTCTGCGAAAGTGGCTGTTCTGCAATAGCAGATTCTGGAACTTCTTTGCTTGCGGGTCCAACGGTAAGCTAGAATCTGAAGGGGGTTGTAGTGGGTTCCTAAGAGTTGTATTGGTAGTAATACCCTCATATTTTTGTGTTTCCTTGTGTAGACTGTAATCACCATGATAAACCATGCTATTGGAGCAGCTGGAATTGTTAGCCAGCAGTGCAAGACTGTTGTGGATCAGTACGGGGAGACCATTTTGGATTTACTCTTGTCTGAGGTAAGTATGCTTAATGGACTAGCTAATAAAATCTGTGTGGCAAGTCGCATGTTGTGTATGCAACTCTTGCTATGTAAATGATTTCAACTAACTGTTCCCCTTGCGTATAACAGACCCAACCGAAGAAAATCTGCTCGCAGATTGGTCTGTGCACTTTCGATGGTCACCGTGGTGTCAGGTAAATTTCCAGTGGTTTTGTTCATGTGGAGTTGCAATTAAGTCCAAGATCTTCTTCATCTTGGTTTCTTTTCTTTGTGGTCTGCTATTTATTTACTATAATTCTTCTTTTATTGTTTAGCATGGGCATTGAGTCGGTGGTGGACAAGGAAAACGCCAAATTGTCTAATGGTGTGGGAGATGCAGCGTGTTCTGCATGTGAGATGGCAGTTGTTTGGATACAGAGCCAGTTGAGGCAAAACATGACTCAGGAACGCATATTGAACTACATCAACGAGGTAAAACATCAATGTCCATTACAACACTTCGGTAAAATATGTTGAACCATGCTTTCCTGATCCTGTTCATTTGCTAATGTTGTTGATTTTCGTGGACAGCTATGTGAGCGTCTTCCCAGCCCAATGGGAGAGTCTGCAGTGGACTGTACACAACTCTCGACCATGCCCACTGTTTCGCTCACCATTGGAGGCAAAGTCTTTGATCTTTCTCCAGAGGAGGTATGATTGAGAACAGAATTCAACTGTCGTAGTTGTCACTTGATTATTATATCCATCTAATCTCTTGGTGCTGGTATGGTGTGAACAGTATGTTCTGAAGGTTGGTGAGGGCCCTGCTGCACAGTGCATCAGTGGCTTTATTGCACTTGATGTTGCTCCACCTCGTGGACCTCTCTGGTAAGCCCTTGGTTCTACTCTGCAGAACAGT